AGGAAAGGAAAGGAAAGGAAAGGAAAGGAAAGGAAAGGAAAGGAAAGGAAAGGAAAGGAAAGGAAAGGAAATATGATCATAAATGTGAACAATACCTAAGAATTTTCATGCTATTTATAATAGCAAAAATTAAAGATAACCTACAACCCAAAGAGAGTTGGGCATTGGTTCTTCACAATTTGATGCTGGGCACTAAGTAGACTCAGTTCTGAATCTGAGTCTTATAAGCACAGAGACACCTGAGCGGATTGGTTGGCCTCCAAGACATCCTACCAGCAACCATTTAAACATGGGCCTGAGGCCTGTATTGTGGCTTTTATCTAGATGTCCCAAAAGCTGCATGAAGTCACAGATGGGCTTTTTCAGAGGTCACTGGATCTAGAGGGTATGACATTGGAATTGATTCATGGTGCTATGTTAGGATGAAGGACACTAGGATAAGGAAGTGAGTGTTACTGGCCCTACATAGCCTGAATAAGATATAAGGGATAGAAAGGGCTGTGGTCATCCCTTGTTGCTTTACTACCTTCTGCCCACCATGAACTGTTTCTCCTCTGTTAGCCCACCCTGCCTTGGAGACAGTTATGGATTGAAACCTCTACAAACTATGAGCTAAGTAAACTTTTTCTCTTTTAATTTTGTTTTTTTATTTGTTTTGTTTGTAATTTATTTTATTTTGAAGACTAAAACAAACTGAAAACAAATACTGGAAACAAAGATAGCAACAGGGTAACATACAAGAATACATGTTACAGATTTTAAAACAAGAATAGGTAATTAACAAGGGTTGTTATGTTTTCTATTTTTATTATCAAATACATTGTTCAGACTAACAGATATAGTTAAGCAAAATTGGACAAATAATTGAATATGAATGCTTGCTTTCAAGAAGCCTTAAGGGCCAGCCAGATAACTCACTGGACTAACGTGCCTGCTTAGGCACTTGCAGGGACCAGGGTTTGATCCCCAGAATGTCAGCCTAGCACCACCCCCAGGGCACACTGAGGAGATTACTGAGACTGTGTGTGGTGGCACACGCCTATAATTCCCAGGCTTGGAAGGCTGAAAACAGGAGGATCACTACTTGTCCAATCTGCAGTGAGACCCTATACTAAATAAAGAAGCCTTAATTTTTTTCTTGTCTTTTTTTTACTTTTTAAAATTTATTTTAAAGACAGTATAATAATAATAATTGATAAAACACTAGAAATGGTGTACATTTAGAAGACCAAGATGAGAGACATTCAACCATGGTTGGGTGTCAGGCATTTTGTCTCAGTAACAAGAAAAGTAACTAAGATATCCTGGTAGGAGAAACACTTACAAGTACAGAGACACTTTCACCACCTGCTGATTCTCCAAAAATGGTCACAGAGCCTGGGTTCCCTCCAAATTTGGCAATATTGTCCTGTACCCAGTGCAGGGCAGCCACCTGGTCAAAATGACCCCAGTTCCCCCAGCTGTGTTCATCCCCTGTACTGCAACAAATAGAGTGGGAGAGGGAAATAAATGTATCACAGCCGTGCTCTTGGGAATCAAAGTGGTTTAGAGACTTTCATTTAACCTCCAGAAAGAGTTTAGACTCTGCATACCTGACATAGGGGTCTTCACTTGCTTCTCATTCCTACAATAATGTTCTAGGGGGATCTACACTCATTCTGCTGGCTGTTGCAGACTGAGCATCTACTATGTATCCAAAACTGATTGAAGGGCTAGGTCACATATTTGATAAAAATATACAAAAAGAAAATCTCTGAAGATTACCTCACATCATTGCTGTGGCAGCTACTTTGGTTTGGCAAAGATGTGGTTTGTTCCCCAAAAGCACTTAATTAGAATCCTTAATCTCTAGTATGTCAATTTTAAGATAGAACCTGTAAAAGGTGATGACTAGTGAAAGATGATTACATTATTAGGGCTGCTGTACTTACAAGAGATTAACATATAGCTTTTGGGATGCTTGTTAGCTCCCAAAAGAGTTAGATGCGGTAAAAGGGCAAGAAGATCCCAGATCCTGCTCTCTGGCTTCTGGTCTATGCTGTGACCTAAGCTTTCTGCTGCAGATTTTCTTTCTGATTTCCACTACTTTGAAACACAACCAAGGGGCTGTGACCAGGGACCAATTAAGTGAAACCACCAAGGTTGAAATGAACTCAATAAATTATTTTTAAAAATAATTATCCAGTTAGGTGTTTTGATATATCGACATAAAATAAACAAATACAGAAGATCATGTGCAGAAAAAAGAGTCCCACATCTCACCTGAAGAATCCCCAGATGCCTAGTCGGTACTGAATGGTCACCACCACCATGTTCTAAAGGGAAGCCATGGGCAGTCCATCATAGGTTGATGCCCCACCAATGGCCAGACCACCCCCATGGATCCACACCATCACCTGGACAAAGAGGACACAGCCACACTAGTTACAAAAAGTGCTATTAGAAAAGACCTCAGGGATTTTCTGATTTGGTCACTTACATCTTCCATTTTCCAAAGTCCACCAACACCATCAGTGTTGCAAGAGAGTCTTCCTCCTCCCCAACTTTCCCACCTGGACCCAAGATATCACCACATTCATTATCCACTGCCCACCCCTACCTTTCTTCCCAGACCCATGTGCCATGTCCCACCAAGACTCTTCAAAATGAGAAAGTCATGAAAAGTACAGCAAAGACCAAAGTACCATCTTCTCCCCAGTACTCAACCACTCATGCCTGAATCATGAATCCAGCTGAATATATGGAAGAGAAAGGGGAATCCCTTCTGTTTCAATTTTATCTCAGTTAACTCTTTAGTGAAAAATTATACTTTCTGTGAAGTTTTATTTTCTCAATAATTAAGAACATCCCCAGTAGATCTGTTCCTAATATGCTTCCACTTCACCTCTGTATCCTAAAACCTACACATCCTCCTCAGCCCAGACTCATATTCACCTCTTGCAAGAAGTATTCAGTCATTTGACTGACATCATGTGAAGACCTACTATGTGCCTGGGACTGTAATGAAAACTGAAAATGATGTACAGTAAATAAAAAAACTCACAAACCATTTCCTTGCATTTAAACGTTCACATACCAGGAAAGACATGAGTGTGGTAAAAAACAATATTAACAATATAGCAAATAGAAAATAGATTATACAATCAACTATACATCGACACTGTTCTCAGCACTGTTTCCACCTATCAAAAAGGAAGAAACTATTAACATCTATCTGATAAGAAAACAATGGCACTTTACTACCCAAGATCCTATAGATAAAAGTGGTAGCAACAGGACTTGAGCAGGAAATCTGTCCCCAGACTCATATGCTGAGCTGAGCGGCCCTATGATAGCAGCCCACAGTTACCACCCAGTAGTCTGGCTGTTCAGGCAAGAGGAAGATCCTTCTGCAGGTCTACTTGGTATGTGATTGGGGCTGACTTGTTCACTCACAAGTACCAGGACTGAGTGAAGCTTGACAGTCATCACTGAATGCACTTACACAATTATTTTCATTTATGGAAAAAGACAGTGAAAGAAATTAAGACACTCTCTCAGGCTTTCACAGAGAGCACATTGGTCAAGCAATGGCTGTGACTCATCCACATGGCTGCACTGACAAAGGTTCTACAATCTGAGGTACAGGATCTCAGGATAAATCCTGAGGGGATTTCACTGACCTTCTCAGACCCAAAGCTACAACTCTTGTTGCATAGTTCCCGGTTTACCTTGGTCTTAACCATCCAGTAGAAAAGTATGAAGACGAAATATAGAAAATAAAGCCATGCTGTTAAGTTGAGCTGTGGGGGACTCAGGTCAATAATTTCTGACATTGCCAGTTAACCAGAAGACCCAGTGCTATTATGGGCTACTGGACTCTTTTAGAATATTTTGCTGAGTTTACACACCTATAATATTCAATAACGGATCTTAGAAAAAATGGGGTATACTGATGAATGTCTATTTTGTATCTGTGTATTCAAAGTGGTTAGGATAGATATATAATTTCATTCTCTTAATGAATAGAATGATTTGTTCTAATGGTGTTTGTAAATAGGATCACAAGTCCGCATCTTATACAGCAATTAACCACTAAGAAGAATATATGCAGTATATTATTTGTTGAAACTGTACTTCTGATTTGATTTGAAACTGTCTCATTGCTGTTTATCAATAAAACTTTGAAAAAAAAAGAAATTAAGAAATTGTCAGTTTCCAGGTCATGCAAAGGCAGATGTAATATTTAAATCCAAATCCTTAGTCCTAGATGCTGTCCATACCTGGCCAAGAAAAGAGTGGAGGGGTTGCCTCTGGACTCCCAAACACCCTTTGTCTTCCACCTCTGTCCCTTGCTTGTCTCCAGAGCATGGACTGAGACACAATCATCTTTAAATGAAGGCTGAGCCCAAAACTAATCAGCAATGATATGCTGGAGAAGCTACAGTGTATCTCTGCAACCCACATGCAATTTTTTTCAAGGAGGGGTTCTATTCTTATGGTTTCTTTCTCCTTTGTGTAACATCCAAATCTAATTGTGTGCATGGAAACACTAACTATGTAACAGAATGAGTATATGAATGAGGGAACATTTCTCCCCACCCTAATATTCCTTACAGACACATGTAATACCAACTTCCAAGATCACACCTCCACCCACACTGCTGGGGTTCATGCCATGGTGTTCCCTGAAAACTGGATGGGTGGTGGCACTCTGTTTTCCACCTCGTGAACTGTGACCTTCCTCTTTGCCAGCATGTGCTTCTAAACTCCTCCCAACCATGCACCTGCAGTTTGCCTGACCTTTGATCTTTTGTTCTGTGGGAAGTGCTGAGTCACTAGCCATCAGCCTGTGCCAAAGGCAGTTAGGGAAGGAATTAAGCCACCATAAAAATCTCACATGATTGGTCAAAGATAAGGAAATTTCTATGGGGATTATCCACGTTCCACTTCCAACACTTTAGTTGCTAGGCAGTGACATCTTTCACAAGAGAGTGAAAGTCCTTGCAGGCACCTTGTGTAGAAGAATAAAACACAAGCTCTACTTCCTATTCTCTGTCAAAATAACACTGGTTTATAAATCAGAGACTGCAGGTCTTATATTGACAATCCTGTGGTGTGAATTCCCTTTCCCCATCTGTACCTCAGTTTCTTGACCTGAGGAAAAGAAATTATTGATCTGTTCTATTTTCTATAAGCTTCTTTCCAGTTCTAAATTCCTGAAAATTATGTTTTAGCTGCTCTTGGGATCATATCCTTAATCCAGTAACTGTATTCATTCTTCTTCTTCTTCTAATGTGAGGAAAATTCGAATTATTAAGGTATGCATTCCAGACATACACCAAACTCTCCCCAGATATTTGAGGTTACTAGGGAAAAGCTGAGTAAGGAAAACTTGCATTTCCTGCTGTGAAAGGAAGCTCTGGCCCCCAGTGTGGCCAAACCTGTGGCACCCTTACCCCAAGCTGACTTCATGTCCTTCTATTCTACATTCAAAGTTTCCAGATGCTGAAATTCACAAGTCTTAAACAGTGGTACCACACTTACTGGCAAACTGCTTTTCTTCCTCAAGTCTGCTGGAGTGTAAATATTTAAATACAGACAATCTTCAGAATACCTGATAGGAATGCCCTCCTTCCTATTGGTAAAGAGATCAGAGAGCATCTGATTCCCTTTTGCATCTTGAGAGCACCTAGAAGAAAAGGGAAAACATCAGGAGTTGAACTAGGTGCAAAATAGAATGACAACTATGACTTTACCTTATCCTTGGAGTTTTAAACCTGTAATCGAAGTTGCCATCATTGAGCTAAAGTGATTGCAATGGGTGTCTGGAGCTATTAATAGGAACTGTGGGAGTCTTGAGTCTCTCCAGATCATTCAGAATGAGAAGGACTTGGAAACTCTACCCTTTCCTGAGCCTTTAGGATGCAGTGATTCTGGGGCATGAGGATAACATTTCCTGTAGAATCATTCTTCACTGGGCGTCAGAAAAAAAACTGTTCAACCACTAGTCACGTTCCAGTCTTTCACAGATTTTTTCAACCAGAACTCCCTCCAATTTAAGAAACTATGCTCAGCAATTCAAGGGTGAAATTTTGGGGATGATTTCAGGGATACTGTATTTCAGGACTGGCTCTGCCATAGATGTGCTGGTTGACCATGAGTAAATTCCTTTCTTGCTTTGATCCCAATCTGACACTTCCATAACAATGCCACAGCCCTGCCATGCTAACATTCCATCATCACTCTGCCAGGCAGCCATGGTAGGCTGCCCTGATAAGAGGTCTCTAAGATCCAACATTACAATCTTCAACATATTTTCAGTTCCCCAGTGTTCCAGGGAGTGATACAAATTATTTCACATACTAATTCATTTAAGCCTCACAGAATCCATGCATAGCAGAGATTACGTTCTTATCCCTATTTTACAGGTGAGACAGAAAAGGAACAACATCGTTAGAGAGCCTTCCAAGGATTGGGTGGCAGACAAATCCATGCTATGCAGTGCTTGTTTTCCCAAGTACATTATAAACAACATTTTCAGTGCTAAGTGGACCCAGGTGGCAGAACTACTGCCTGAAAGATGTTGAAGAAAAACAGAGGCTCTCAAATAACAGGTTGAGAGACCTCTTAAGTGGCAGATATAGAGCCAGCAAAGAAAACATTGAGACTTCTATCCTGAGGAATTTTTCCAAGAATAAGGGACACAATATTTATAAAAACAGAACTATAATGTCAAAAATGGGAAAGTACTGATAAGCATGAAGCCAACTTGGTCTCAAGGCAGAAGAGATTACAACACTACCTCTTATCTCCTTCACCTATTCTGCTGTGTTTTTATTCTTTTATAAAGCATGTGTCCTATTTTAATCTATGACCAAGTTACTTTTTAAACCTACATATTGATTCTTGCCTCTCTGCCCATTTCTGCAAAGTTCTGTTCTCCAATGGATTCTAAGAACTGAGAATATGTTTGGCACACAGTAGGTGTTCAATAACTCTGCTGAATAAAAGGATCTAGAGTAGTATGACAGCTCTGGAATATGTTAAGGGTGCTTGCTGGTTCCATGACAAAGTATAGCCAATAAGCATATTGTCTTAATTCTTTCCTACGTCACCTTTAGAGAAACACGAAAAAATGCTAAAGCTGACCTCCTTCCCAACTTACATGGGAGGGTAAGAGGTGGTGTTCTTCACATAGTTCCATGGCTCTGCAGGCTGTGGAGGAGCAAACCTCAGGGATCCCAGAGGGGGCTTGGCGAAAGGGACTCCCAGGAAGATGGCGACTGGCTGTTCAAATCCCTCCAGGCTGACATACTTCCCCAGGACTTTGCCATGTACTGTGTCCACCACAGGAGGTGAGGAGGGGTGCCCTGCTTGACATAGAGAAGAAATGAGGAGACACCAGAGGAGAAAGGCGAGGTCTAAGGTCCAGTTGGTTTTTCCTTCTTGCAGGAATGTGACCTTGACTAAATCACTTAAACTCTCTGGCCCTCAGGTTCTTCTTAGTAATATGGGGATGAGAAAGACTGTCCTTCCTAAATCTGAAGGACAATTGAAGCAGTAAAGTAGAATTAGAGATATAAAACAAATCACTTTAAAAACAGAGATGATGTTGGGAATAAGTGAGATTTCTTGTGTGCAATTTAGAGGCCTTAAAATTCAGCATCCCTTAGTATTCTGGTGCTGAGCTATTGCTGGATGAAAGGATAAAAAGGAAGAACCCCTGTACTCAGAAGACTGAGACTCAGTTCCAGGCCTCTCACTGTGTAACAGAGCCAAGAAGATACAATCTAGATGATCAGGGTACTGAGGTCTGAGCACTGGTCTGGCTTTGAATAGGGCATAATTTTCCACCTGATTTTGGGAGAATACATGGCCTTGTGACTCTAAATTGCTCTGCCTATAAAGTGGCAAAAATATATGTTCATGTGCTTCATTATATCCCTGAAATTGAGCTAGCAAGGTAGTCCAGTGGACTAAGTGACTGCTTAGGCAAGTGCAGGGACTGGGATTCAGTCCCCCAGCACTGCATTCCACTGTACCCCTGACCCCAGGAAACATTGAGCCTGTCACTGAAACAGGCTGTGCACAGCTGTAGTCCCAGCACTGGGGAGAATGAATACAGGAGGATCACTACGAGTCTAAGCTGTTTAGTGAGACCATGTACCAAATACATTAAAAGAAGCTGTTTGTATTCCTGAAATACCATGGATTTGCTTTCTGTTTCTGATGTGTTGACCTTAGAATCTTTACTGACCCTTCAGGTACTTTCCCTCCTAGGCCACACCCCACCCACCTCTTATATCTGGTTCCCAGACTCTAGGTCAGCATGCACCTGCTTCAATCACCTAAATTCAGTATCTGGGCAGCTACCACAGCACCTATGTCCCAATTCCAGTAGCACAATTTTTTTCTTTTATTCATTTTAATGAGAAAACAAGATAAAATAGCAATGAAACTTTCAAAACGGGTTAGTAGGATGATTACAATAATTAATACATTGTACAGTGTTGTCTTCATGGTAGTTATTCAGGGGATAAAATGCAGACATGACATCTTGTCTAAACAATATTAGTACAAAACTTTATTCTCAATGAATTAAGAGAAACTTTCTCTGCATCTTCTCTTCCTTTCAGTAGATTCTACTTCATAGACCTTTCCAAAATCCCCCTTTCTCTGCCTCCTGATGGATCCTGTGCTTTTGCCCTGGTGTTACATGTCCCAATACATGACCATGCTATTGAAAGGAACAGTTCATGCTTAAATTTTTTCTTCTTTTTATTTTTTGACCAATTTTTCATATTTATATCTGGTAATCTGAACAACTAATTTAAAGACAAGTGCAATATACCAGCCATTGTTGAATTCTGATCATTTTGTTTAGTGGAATTCTGTATTATTTCAAATTTTTGGCTTCTTTTTATTCTCCTTAAAAAAATCTTTTCTAAAAAGAAAAAGAACTGTAAATGTTCTTTCAGTGGCCAATTGATCATAGTCTACCACATGATAAACTTCCCATTAATGCTCATTTTAAATCAACCTTCTTACCCTTTCCTCAAGTCTCTCCTGATTAGACATCCTCAATACTGCTTTAGAAACAAGAACCTGTTTCATCTGCACTATATAGGCCAGTGAGATAAGCACAATTGGCAATCCTGTTACAGAGATGGGGTAACCTAAGAACAGCAAAGTTAAGTACCTTGCCTAACAGAAGCCAGCCCAGAAGTGCTGAGCTGGATTTCAAATACCTGCTCCAGCTCCTAAATCTATGCTTTAAATATTCTACTAAGTCACCATCATGACCTATAGAGATCTGGGAATCAATGGGAAAATAAACTGGGCTCTTTTACTTCCACTGATATGAACTTTAAAGTTATCACTTGGATCTCTTATGTCTATTGCCTGTAGCTGGATCTTAGGTTATAGTTTCATTCTTCAAGGCTCACATCCACATCCACATCAACATCCATCCAGAAAGTGAGCATCACGACTATGGAACCAGACTTGTCATGTGTTTCTTCTGTATACATCTCCAACATCTTTGGCTCAAAACAAGGACTTGTAGACATGCCTCCCCCAACTCCCTTTAAGCATATTTCAGAAGCACTTACCCCAAGTTGTGCATGCAGTGAGATAGACCAAAACCAGAGCACAAAGCCACATCATGGAAGGACAACAGCTCAAGGTCCAACAGCTTTCCTTTCTGTTCCAAGGGAATTCAGGGTCCTGCTTGAGAGCTGGAAATGTGTCCCAGAATCTCACTCACACAATCTAATTGAATAGTCTACAATGAAAAGAAGAAAGAAAGCCTTTTCTCTTCCAAAAATCTCACCAGACACTCCTTAAAACCTCCAAGCCACACCTACTCAGAGTTTATCCCATGTTATTTGAATAGTCCATACCCAACTCTCAGATTACAGCCATAAATTCATCCAAAAACTTGTTACATAAGATCTTTTTCTGTAATACTCTAATTTCAGTGAACTTTGAGCTTCTCAAAGGCAGGCACAGCTGGCAGACACATGAGAGTGGGGGAAGATTTAGTCCTAAGAACAAGCTGGAAGTTGTGTTTCTTTTTCTTTCTTTCTTTCTTTTTATTTTATGGAAGGGTCTACAGTATGTTCAGGGTCTCACTACTAGATCAAACTTGTAGTGATCCACCTGTTTACAGCCTCCTAAGTGCTAGGATTACAGGTGTGTGCCACCACACCCAGTCTCAATTGCAGTCTCAGCATGCCCCAGAGTCAAGGCTGGTGCTTTAATCTGCTGAGCTATTCACGTAGCCCTTTGGAAATTGTATTTCTATGTTGAAGTATTCACAACTTTTAGAATGGCTATCGCTTTCATTATTGTATGAGAAAATCCTCAGCAAACATTCTTCTCTTGGTAATATGTCATGGGATCCATTTCTTGTGATATGTCGACAAATTTGGTTGGTCTGGTAGCTCTCCTAGGACATTTTTGGCTATTATAAGTGGCTTTTATTTGTTTTTGCTTTTTTTTGGTGGAACCAGGGATTGAACTCAGGCCCTTCCGCTTGCCAGTCAAGCACTTATCCTACTGAGCCATCTCCCGGCCCCCATAAGTGGCTTTTAGTGCAATGTAATGTAAGTGACCAAGATCACAATCCTTCTGGTAATTCAAAGTTGGTGTCGTTTAGACAGTGTTATGTGGGACATGAAAGCTCCTACAATGTAGTAGGGATTTCTTCTGACTATTGATATTGGCATATTGACTCAGTTACTTGGAACAATTCTGCTACTAGCTCTTGAAATAGGCCAGGACCTTTTATCTTCTTATTATGCATCACTGCAGCTGCAGTTCTTTCATGGAGAATGACAGAGGCTGGCGGTCCTAAATCTATGATATGAAGTTTGAGTATTTTCAGCTATGTGTCATCTGATAACTTATGGGAGAAAACAGTGCTGAGATCCCTTATACATGTAGAACCAACAAAAGTTATGTTACTTTTGTCTGTTCTTCAGTGGGGGTGAGTGTCCAGACAGATTTCAGGACACCTCTCCCACCACCACCATTTTCATGTGTGCACCTACCTCCATTCATACTGTGACTGTCCTGCTAAAATTCAAGAGGAAGTAGATCATATTTGGAGCAAAGCAGAATACCACTCAAATGTGCTAAAAGTGTAGTCCAACATAGGAACACTCAAGATGATTCAACTACAGAGGTCAGTCCATAGCATCTCAAAGAGGGAAGAAGAAATGCAAAAAGAGACCAGATGAAGAAATAAAATAATAATCAAATTAAAATAACTATAATACTACTAACACCTGAAACAAAAGCAGAAAAATAATGCAGAATAAAATACAAAATGAAAATAATAAAATCTATAAAAAGAAAAGAGCAAAATGATGGCAAGAGAATAGGAATGTGAGAGAAGGGAATGCAAAAAAGGATTATATAGATATCATGGAGAGAAGAAAAGAGAAAAAAGAACAGCAACAACAAAATTGTATTATATGAAATTTTCCTTTTTGCAATGGTTCCCAAATTAACAGGCAAGTGTTGATATTCCCAGTCTAATTCTGTCAAAACTGAATAATAGGCATAGGCAAAGGCTTCGTAAATAGGGCTCCGATAACAGAAATTAATAGCAAGAATCAACAAATGGGAGCATATCAGTGTCTCCACAGCAAAGGAAAACAATAAAAAAGACAGTTTATAGAAAGGAGGAAATCTTTGCCAACTACTTTTCTGTTAGAAGTTTATTATTCTGAAAATATTTTTGAAACACAAAAATGAACACTAAATTTAAATTCAATGAATAAATTAGACAAATGAATGCAAACTTTTGCAAAAGAACAAATTACATATGAGCATATTTTTTAAATTATCAGCATCTCTAGACGTTAGATAACTATGAATTAAAACTACCTTAAAATTGCCTCACTCCTAGTTAGACTCGTTGACTTTAAGAATAATAAGGAGGCCCAGAGTGCCCTGCATCCCAGAGGAACAGGCCCAGTGTGTCCTGTGCCCCAAGCCCCAGTGGAGCAGGCCAAGCAGGTGGCAGGGCACTGTCTCCTCAGAGGTCCCACAGAACTAGTAGTTGGTGAGTGAGGTGAGGAATTTTGGAAAACTCCAGGACAGTATTGGGTTATTTCACCATCAAGGCCCAGCAGTAGAAAGAGAGCAAAGCCTTCCTGTCACAGTGGGCTGCTGGAAGCTGGGAAGCAGACTATGGCAAATTCTGCTAACATGCAGGAGCTGGGACCAGTCAGAATCTCCTCTGGTGACTGCCTTGCCCCAACAGCACAAGCAGGCATGCATCAAAGCAGCCTTGGCCTGTGGAAGGACAAAGCCACTCCCCCAGCTCTTTGACCAGTGGGTAAAAGGAGCTGGTGGCATGAAAAAGAAAAGCTGTGCAAGGTACAAAAGGAGCCAAATGTACACAGGTCTAGAAGCAATCCAGGCCTCTCCCTACCCCAGGGTGCTACTGCAACTGAGAGAATGACATAGAGACAACCACAGTAAGGAGAAATGGACATCCTAAATATTGTCAGCTTAAAACCAGTCCCAGCCCCCACATCCAGAGGCCAAAGTCAGCCCCATACCCAGCACAAAGCCTACTGCAAACTTGGAAGGATTGCATAGCACATTTCTGGAATCCAATTTGGACAGTACCACAGAGCTGTGAACACCTGAAGAATTTTATTACTTTTCTTTTTCTTTGTTTATGTGAGTGGTTTTCCTTTTTTTAATCTTGTGGGGATAATTTGTTTTGGTTTGGATTCAGTTTTCTGTGATTTTATTATTTTTTAATTTTCAGGTTTCTTATCTGAATTTTGTCCTGTTCTATCTGTATTCTTTCACTCTTTCTTAAACAATCTCTAGTTTGCTTTAATATTCTTTTGCTTTCTCTTTTATTCTTTCTCTCCTGTGTCCCCCAACAGTTTCTCAAAATGTGAGTGACCATCCTTTTCCTTATAGCCTTGACTCTACTATACTTCTCCTCATACATCTCTGTTTGATGTCTCTCCCTCTTATCTCAAATTAGGATAAAATTAATCTACCAAGGGAAAACTCTTGTATATAATTTCCTGACATATGTTTAATTTTGTTACATAACTGTAGGAGCTTGCACTTACAGATTATGGTGCCAAATTAATATTTACCACAGTTTGTCAGTTGCTAGGCTGTGCTTGCTGCTGTTATTAATTGTACAACTCATCCAGGATGCCATACATGTTAGAATCAGTTTTTCTCTTGTGTATGACAACACTGCAATTGTCTGGGATAATAACTATCATCATACACAAGTACCAAAGATGGGGAACAGAGATAACTTCTCAAACTCAATTAATAATGAAGACAGGATCTTGGGACAAACACAAAGACCAAGAACCACTTACACATTTAAGACACCTATGAGAAAGAGATAATTCCAGGGGACCCCTGAGATTAGTGATGAAGTTGTCTACCATAAAAAATCTACAGGCAGGAACAAAGAAAACAAAACAATGTTTTTAAATATAAAAAATGATGACACAGAAGCAAAATGCAACCTCAGATATCCATCCCACCTAGTACAACTCCAGGGCACAATAAGATATAATAGATAAGAAGTCACACACTGGAATTTTCTGATAACAGAAGAAGTGAAAAGGCAAATGGAGGTGGCTATAGACAAAATAATCTCTCAGGTAAAAATATGAAAATCAAAATGAAATACATGCCCAATGAACCTAGAATAGACACAGATAAAAATACAGCTCAGAAAAATGATGGAAGCAATGAATGCCCAACAAAAGAAAGAAATGATAATAACTGTAATCTGAGCAACTACATCAGAGACAGCAGTGTGCAATAAAGACACATTTGAATACCTCTCACCTCATTCTTCTAAATGTGTGCCATTTGTAATATCTTTTCAATTATGATTATACTCTCTTTAAGATACATTTAAAAATAAAAAGTAAAAAAAAGACAAGAAAAAAATTGTTTGTTGAAAGCAAGCATTAGTGTTCAATTATTTGTACAATCTTGCATAACTGTATATGTTAATCTGAGAAATTTATCAACGATTTGGTGATAAATATGCAAACTATAACAATTGTTAATTTGCTATTCTTATTTTGAAAATCTATACTACATATGGCTGTATATTATTCTGTTTCTGTCTTTGCTTTTGCTATAGTTTATGCTTTTGTTTTTGTTTATAATCCTTAAAAAAATTAAATTGAGGAACAGAAAAAGAAATGGAAGTAGAAGCTGTGAAATAGTACTGAAAAAAAAAATTTCATTGAAAATATATGCAACAGATTGAATTAAGGCAAAAATAGAATATCAGAGCTGGAAAACAGGATTGCAATTAGTAATCAAAAAAGAAACAGTTTAAATGTAACTATGAAGCAAAACAAAATAAATCCAAAAGCTGAAATACAAAATAGAAAAACAAGTTTGATTGAAGTCCATGAGAAAGGAGGAGGCAGCACAAAAGACATAGAAATCCTATTCAAAGAGGTTACAACAGCAAACACACATTCTTCTCATCTACACATGGGACATTCTCCAAAATAGACCACATATCAGTCCATAGGAGATGCTTAAGTAAATGCAAAAGAATAGAAATCATCCCGTGCATATTATCTGACCATAGTGCAATGAAATTAGAACTCAACTACAAAATAAACTACAAAACCTACATAAAAATACACAAAATTAAATAATATTTAATTTTTAACGACTAATTGGATACAGATGAAATTAAGGAAGAAATTAAATAGCATCTGTAATTGACTGAAAATGCCAGTACAACACACTAATTATGACACAATATGAAGACCATCCTAAGAGGGAAATTTATATTAGTGAATGAGTTCAAATAAACAAC